TCCACCCCCCAGATCCTCCCAGTTCTGCCCCTGGCATGCCCCTCTGGAAACTGAGGCAGGGGACTCTGAGATCCCCTCTTCCTCATCTTCCTCTTGGTCACAGTACGTCCAGTGCTTGGAGTTCCTCCAAAGTTCTGGGTTTTGAAGGTTACTTTGTCAGTGGGGTATCTTGTTGTTCAAGCCAGGGTGCAAATGTTCTTAAACAGAATGAAGGCCTACCTTGAGGGAAGTCTAAACAAACTAAAGGAATTTTAAAAGTTCAATATGAAATGGGGCATGTGTAAACTACTGTGCTAAGGGTGAGCTAACTACAGTTACTTCTAAAATCTACGAAAAGTTAAAAATCAAAAAAATCCATAGACATCACTACCAAGACTGGAAGGAGTTGCCCACTGAGCAGTGCTGTGCTACTAGGGATCCTTCATCAGGATAAGGGGCCTTTCACATTTCTCAGTTCCTCCCCCTTTACTTTTTCCTCCTATGGTGTACCCCTGCTACTTGCATGGGATAACTATGTGCAAGGAAGTAAAAAAAGGGTTGTCGTTGTTTGTGAGGATGACCAAGTAAACAAAACTGGGCATTCTATGATAATGGCCTAAATTCAGTTTTATTCGCTTCATGCAGTATATTACATCTTTTTCTTCACACAGCTGCACTCACACACCGTCTTCTCCTGTAGAATCTTACATACTAACACTATTCTTAGCTCTATTATCTATATTTACCACCAGCCTTCACGTATGATTGGATGTTCACCTCTTATTTACATTCTTTTCCATGCTACCAGGCACTGCGGCCTTGCTACATCCTCCGACAATTCCCCCTTTTTTTCATTTGTGCCACAAAAACTGCCTGGGTCGTTCCTTGCAGGGCCCTTTGCAAACACGACACCAAACATGGCAACATCGGTAGCACAACTACAACAATAAGGAACACAAGGAAACTTGTCTTGACTATAGGCAAAAACCATTCCGATTGTTTCCATTTACTAACAGATCATTTAGTTAATTCTGACCAGCATTAACTCACAATATTTTCAATATCTGCTTCCAATCTTCAAAGGCTAGCAACATCAACTTACCATAATTAAGTCTATGCAACACATTTTCTAAAAATCTTAACACTCATAAAGTATTTTAAGTTCATATACATAGATATCTATGCAGTTTTTTTCACTCATACAGCTTTTTTCTCAGTCATTCAGAAGGTGACCACCTCAATCACTCCTCATTCACACATAGCTGGGATTTTTATTATAGTTTTACATTTCAACCACACATCTTAGATCCCAATATTACTGACTGTGTGCTTCTCAGTCTGCCATCTGTGGTGGTCATGTTCGCCAACTCCACCTGTCCTGAAGAGGAATCAATACAAGGAACAAAAAAGCCTAACAAACCTATATGAGATCCATTTTTGATCCAGGACCTGTTCATGTGCATGCATTCTCCTCCTCCCCCTCTTCCCCCTTTTTTTGTTTTGAAAATATGTTTGGTGTGTAAAATGCCTTTTGACAATAATTAGTTCTCTGAGTGAGTTAACCTTGTTTTAGAATACCAAAAGTTATGCAGTATAACAGAAATAATGTCAGGTGAACTAAAAGAAGACAAGTAAATCATGTATGTACATTTTAAATTCCCACCTGAAATGTATCTTAACCTAATGCCAGAAAGGGGGAAAAGAAAAGAAGGAAGGTGTAATCTGCAATTACAAAATCACAGTAACCAAGTAACCAGGATCAATTACAGATGTCCTAAACTTTTAACTATTCCTCAGCAAGTTCCACTTCTCTGTCAACTGTGACAAACAGTGAACAGCACTACTAGCACTACCAGTTATGCATATGGAAGTTCTCTTCAAAGTTTCCATTTTCCCTTTGTTTTTTTTTTTTTATGAATCAGCTGCAGTTTCAGCAGCTTTGTCTGCCAGGAAAGCTGTACCGGTAACACCACAAGTGCCAAACCCTGCAGTTCTGGGTCCTCCGGGACCCCCCTCAGCACAGGTAGCAGCGTGCCCCACTCTGGCTTGGAGTCTGTAGTGCCCTGGTTCCGCAACCCCACACGGCCGCATCAACAGCGGTCCTGCCTTCGCTCTGCTCCCAGCATGGTTCTGCATAGCTGTTTCGCTCTGTGCTGGCTCTCCCCCGCCAGTGCTGTCTCCGTGCTCTCTGGATGTTGGTATCTCCAATGTTTGAAATGCAGTCAGGTCTCAGTTTCTGTCCATCTGCCTCTTCCAGTTGCTTCCACTGTTCTGTCAGTTCTAAGTAGTTACCGTGCAGAAACAGATGAGAGCAGTCAGACAATTTTGCAGAGGGGTCTGGGTGGGGTAAAAACAAGAACCAGTTAGTCCACCTGGTGGTCCGCAGCAGGTCTTGAACCTGTGACCTTGGCATTCAAAGTCCCATGCTTTACCAACTGAGCTATCCAAGCTCCTTTGAGGCTAACTGTGCTCCCTTCAAGTTAGCCAGGCTCCCTTCAACTAACACAGCAACAGCAACAGCCCTAGGGAGCTCCTGCGTTTGAAAGGTTTCAGACACCATTCTCACACAAGCTTTTGTTTTTCAATCTTAGAGTAGCAATGCTTAACTCCGTGTCTTCTATCTGTGAGTGACTGTTGTGATGAAACTATACCTTGCAAAGCAAACATAGTTTTGCCTCTTGTTCAAGTTAAAACATTTTTAAAAGTTCAAAGAATGTTGTGGACGGGTTTTATGGAATTCTACAGTGAATAGTTGCTGTTCTTTGTAGAGCGGAGCAGCGCGGGGGGGGGGAGGGGGTTGGAAGAGGGGGGGGAAACGGGCCCCAGTCCCAGCTCCAGCTCAGCTCCAGTTCAGCTCTGCTGAGTAGGGCCGCCCCGCCCCACCCCGTGAGTCCCTGCCGAGCAGTGTTGCTAGTCCATGCTGCTGCTTCTCCCTGTGCCCCTGCAAACCCCTTAGAACCGCCGTTTCTTTGAACTTTGCATTGTGAGCAGCCATCATCATTATTGTTACACTGTCTAAGCAGCGCATTTCAAGCGCCAATCATGTGCTTCTATCGGGACTCCGGTCCCATAACGCCCAAAGTTCCCGGTGGCTCACCTGTCTCAGGTATGAAGAAAAGTCGGGTCCGGACCCCTTTTTTGCTACACCGGGCTTCGTCCTTGCCGCATTTCGACTTGCAGCCTCAATTCCTCAGGGAATTATCTCCAATCCCTCAAGGGGGATCAAGTCCATTTTGACCCCTTTTTTAGGGTCTCGTCGGTATTGTGTCATGGTCCCTCGTGGTCCGCAACACTCGGGGTCACCATTTGTCGTTGCTTGTGAGGACGACCAAGTAAACAAAACTGGGCATTCTATGATAATGGTTTAAATTCAGCTTTATTCGCTTCATCCAGTATATTACATCTTGTTCTTCACACAACTGCACTCACACACCGTCTTCTCCTGTAGAATCTTACATACTAACACTATTCTTAGCTCTATTATCTATATTTACCACTAACCTTCACGTATGATTGGATGTTCACCTCTTATTTACATTCTTTTCCATGCTGCTAGGCACTGCGGCCTTGCTGCATCCTCTGACAAAGGGCTACAGGAAAGAAATTCTGGAGGTTTTTTAGGCCATTTTTGTTAACAAGTGCAAGATTTTTGATCCCCACCATCTCTCAGTGCTTCCCAGAAGTTGGGGCATCATCTGACATCTCCATCCTCTCTATCATCCAGGCTTTGCCTACAGTCAGGGAGAAGTCCGATGAACTACAGTAGGTCTTTGCCCCCTCTGGTCCCATGGTGACTCATTGACAGGATCTCAGAGAGGGGAGAGGGACTGAGCATGGACTCTGTAAGAGCAGGGAACTGAGATAACTTTATTGACAGGACGCAGCTTTTTTTAACCTTTCTCCAACTTGAAAACATTCCTTATAAGGCAAAACTTCCTTATTAGGCAAAACTTGTGACCGCAGCATTTGACTGGCTACTGCTGTTACCTGGAGACCTGGCAGGCTCTTGGGGTAGCAGCTCCATTCCTGTAATGAATTGCTCTGTGCTCAGCTTAGCCCAAACCTAAGAGTTTTGTTTTCAATCTTGCCTCGTGGTCTGTGAATGGCGGCAACAGCAGCAGTGTCAGCAGTGGCGACGCACAAGTTGTCTGTGTCAGTGTTGGTGAAAGGACGATGGGGGACCATGGCAGTGCTGCACGAGGCAGCGTTGGCTGTAATGGTCGCTCAAAAACAGCTGCGGTTTCTGTCTGCTCCTTTCTGGATCTGACATGAGCTTACAGTGCCTCAAAAATTGCTCTCCATAGTGTTAATTGCTTCCTAAAAACTTCCTTATTAGGCAAAACCTGTGACTGCAGCATTTGATTGGTTGCTGCTGTTACCTGGAGACCTGGCAGGCTCTTGGGGTAGCAGCTCCATTCCTGTAATGAATTGCTCTGTGCTCAGCTTAGCTTGAAGCCTGCTGTTAAGGTCTGTCTCTTTCCCAGGCCTTTGGTCTGCATTAATTCCCACACCATGGGGTGACCTTCAACGTGGTTTTCTCAGCAGCACCTCCTTTTTTCTTAGCGTCTGTGTACAGTACTGATTAATGGAAATGGATCCATTGTTTGGTGGGTGAAAATAAGGACATTTAGAGTGTTTGGTCTTGGTAGATGCAGTTGGTTGGAGCATCTCATCTCTCCTATTGTTACTGAAGGTGGTCCTAGTGATGGTTTCAGTGAAGGTGACTGCACCGTGGGTGCTGCTGGTGGGTCTCAAGCCACTTTTGAAGGTGGACCTGGTGATTTAGGACCCATAACTCCAAATATAATTAGGTGCTGAAACAGCATGGGAATCCCCCAAATCCAGGTCGACTTCAATGGTCCTAATAACATTGCTTTTGGAAATGGTGGATATGCCATGGGTGTTGGTGCATGTGTGGAGACCATCATGAAAACAATGGGCATTGCATCACTTTTGGGTCATATTAACCCCTCTGGTGCTAAATTTCTCCTTTTCTTCCTTTTTTTCCTCCTATTCTGTAGTTTCCCAAGTTCTTCAGGAGCCAGGGGATTGGTCACACTGGTGTGTGGTGGCATACTGGGAAGAGAAGACGCGTGTGGGTCGTCTGTATTCTGTTCAAGAGCCCTCCCTGGATATCTTTTATGATCTACCTCAGGGGAATGGTTTCTGCCTCGGACAACTCAACTCAGACAACAAAAGCCAACTGGTGCAGAAGGTCCGGAGCAAGATTGGCTATGGCATCCAGCTCACCAAGGAAGTAGATGGCGTGTGGGTGTACAACCGCAGCAGTTACCCCATCTTCATCAAGTCGGCCACACTGGACAACCCCGACTCCAGGATGTTGCTGGTTCACAAAGTGTTTCCAGGTTTTTCCATCAAGGCTTTTGACTATGAGAAGGCATACAGCTTACAGACACCCAACGACCATGAGTTCATGCAGCAACCATGGACTGGATTTACTGTTCAGATCAGTTTTGTGAAAGGTTGGGGCCATTGCTACACTAGACAGTTCATCAGCAGTTGTCCGTGCTGGTTGGAGGTTATTTTTAATTATTGATGACAAGACAGAGTGGACTGGTGGCATTTATGATACTTTGCTGTTATTTCCTTCTGAGTGCTTGTTTTTCATGTAAACTTTTTGGGTTTGTTTTGTTTAGTTTGTGTGTGTGTGTGTGTATCTCCCTTTGTTTTGAGAAATAGTTTATGGAAAGATTTTAATTTTTTTTTTGTGCTTTGGGTATTTTGATAAATATATCTATTTTTTAAAAGTGTAAATGACTAATAACTCAGAAGGGTGAGAAAAGGGTGTGGGAGGGGGTGGGTGGGTGTGTGAATTACATATATGATAATTATTTCATGCCTCTGAAAGGATTATCCTATGTGATTGATGGATTCAGAAACCACTTACTATATGTTACAGCTCCTTCTCTTGGATAAAACAATACCTGTATTTTTTATGCACCACCAACTGTCTCTATCCCCAGTGATGGTGACACCAAGACCCCTTCTCCAGTGGTTCTAATCCCACATTGCTGCCGAAGGATGGTGCAAAATCTTCCCAACCAGGTCTTTACCCACTGTCCCAGTTTAAATGAGACAAGGGTCTTTTACTGAGGATGGGTTAGGAGAAAAAAAACCCCAATTTCTTTTTCTAGGTAATTATAAATCTAAAATTAAGAGACTCCGATTGAAGGGAAAAACAAATTATGGAAAAGGGAAAATAACAGCCCTTTATTAAAAGGTATGTGTGTATTAACAGAAACACGGAAAAAAAAATAACAAGTAAAACAACCAAGCAATACTCTTATACCCACCAATAATCTCCTTCAAGAACAAACCAATAAAGCAACAAAAGGAAAATTAAATAGTTCAATTTCTTGCACCCTTTGGTGCAGTTCCAACCACAGTCAGCAGGGGGCGCTGTTGGGTCACTGGAGGTGCAGAACTTGTAGTGTCCTATAGTAGTCACCAGGTGGTGCTGTTGGATCACTGGAGGAGTAGAACTTGTAATGTCCAGTGCCCGTCACCAGGCGGCGCTGTGAGATCCTTGGTTACCACCAGGTGGGTTGGGGGAAGGGAAAAAAAGCAACACCCCCCCCAGGGTATATCGGAGAAAAAACAAAAAAAACCTCAATTCCCCTTCTCTTCCCACACTGGAAAAAGAGGGGGGAAAGGGGGAAGGAAAAACCAACAACAGAACAGAAAGTTCTCCCAATGGAAGGAAACTCACAAACTTTAACTGGTTAGGATTAGTTTTAAGCAGGGCCTGCAGCCAGTAAGAGCTGAGAAGAGAGAGAGCAGCAGCCAACTCCCCTCCGACAGGAAGAAAGAAGAAACCAGGCAGCTCTGCAACTTGCAGCAGGTCCTGAGTCCACTGGCACACACCAGCCTCTCCTCCCCATCTCCTTCCAACCACACACTAGCCCCCCCAACTCCTCCCCCTTCGTTGTCAAGGAGACTAATCTCAGCCATTAGTGGATTCTTTTGTTCACCTGATAGCTACCTGATGGCCTATATACAGAGCACACACACAGCAGGGGAAAGGGAAAGAAAAATTCCTTGCTAAAATCGGAACTATGACACCCACCCTTTTCAATTTTTATTTTATTTTTCTTGTTACTGAGTTGACGTCTTGTCACTATGTTCATCCTTCCACTGCTTTTTTTTTTTTTTTTATGGTCATGGATTGATGCAAGGGGAGAAAACAACAGCAGAGAAACCTTGTGCATGGCCTGTGCTTTATAATTTGAGCTGAGATGTAAAGTGACAGAAGCCTAAGACTAAAGCAAAACAAAACAAAGTAAAACCAACAAAACAAATTAAAAACAAATGGAAAAACAAAAGAAAAAGTGTTCACAATAGTTGGTCTGTTGTAACCTGCTTAGATCAGGTTATCCGGGTATCATCAGATCTGGAAATGCAGTTGCTTTCATTTCTTCTTAAATTCATACACGAGTATGATACTTTTACACTGTTCTTAGCTCAATGAGCATGTTTAGACTGTAACATAAGCTATTTTTCTAAATATAAAGGTTTAAATGAACAAAAGAGCATTTTCATTGGAACTTTAGCGTTGTAGTACTTTGGAAACACAAAACAAAGGACTACTTAAAAAACCCCTAAAAATTATTAAAGAAAAAATTTTATTTTAGATATAAATATATTATTACTTGTAAATAGAAGAAAATTTTATAAACATCATTATTTACGTATTGTGCAATGTGTATAAATGAGAAAAAATAAGAAAGATGCACTTTGTTTTAATATAAATGCAAATAACAAATGCCTAATTAAAAAAAAAAAAGAACATGACTTTGATGGTGTTTTCTATGGGTGTTATCATCCAAATGAATGTTTTCTATAAAAGAGTTTACGTTCCATTAAAAAATAAAAATGTACACTTAATCCCAGGCTGTGCCAAATGGTTTTTTTAGTGCAAGGGATGAGGCAGGTAGGAAAGATGCTGCTCTAAGCAGCATGGGGGTTGGTGTTGGCAACACCCACCCCAGCCCTGTATGGAACTACTTTGGTGTGAGTAGCACCCAGATAGGGTTATCCTGAGCTTTGAGCTCCATTGAGTTGGTGTAGTGCACATGGTTTTGGGGTTCCCAACTTGGCTGCATTCCATCAACCCAATTCTGGAGGGGCTGGCTGCCCAAAATCTGCATGGGTTATTTTTGTTATTACTCCTGTCTCTCATAATTTCAACTTGAAAGAAACCCCATGCTATGGACCCAGCTTCCGTTCGACACTGTCCCATTCCTTGAAGTATTGGGGGAGACCAAGTTTTTGCTCTGTGCTGGGACATGGATGGTTCATGCCACCAGGTGAGGAGCAAAATCTGAGAAGAGGGGAAAGCCAGTCCTCTAAGTTTTCCTCAATTATTTCCTACCCCCTTCATAGAATAGAATCATAGAATAGATTGGGTTGGAAAAGACCTCCAAGATCATCAAGTCCAACCCCTGATCCAACTCTAATTACTATATCATGGCACTAAGGGCCATGTCCAATCCCTTTTTAAAAACTTCCAGGGATGGTGAATCCACCACCTCTCTGGGCAGGCCGTTCCAATGCCTGATCACCCTCTCTGTAAAGAATTTCTTCCTAACATCTAACCTAAACTTCCCCTGGCAGAGCTTGAGCCCATGTCCCCTTGTCCTGTTGTTGATTGCCTGGGAGAAGAGACCAACCCCCACCTGGCTATAACTTCCCTTCAGGTAGTTGAAGAGAGTGATGAGGTCACCTCTAAGCCTTCTCTTCTCTAGACTAAACAACCCCAGCTCCCTCAGCCTCTCCTCATAGGACTTGTGCTCAAGTCCCTTCACCAGCCTGCTCCAGCACCTCAATATCTTTCCTGAACTGAGGGGCCCAGAGCTGAACACAATACTCAAGGTGCGGCCTCACCAACGCAGAGTACAGGGGAAGGATGACTTCCCTGCTCCTGCTGGCCACACTGTTCTTGATGCAGACCAGGATCTCCCATGCCACCGGAAATAAAGGTTATTTTTCCTTTTGGCCCCCTCACCCTGCCTTCAGGCGTTCACTGCTCCCCATCTTACATGGCCTCTCAGGGAGAATCATAGAATCAACCAGGTTGGAAAAGACCTCCGAGATCATCAAGTCCAACCCTTGATCCAACACTGCTGTGGTTACTAGACTGTGGCACTCAGTGCCACA